TGTAAGTAGCTGTGATAACCCTCACTAGTCATTAAGTTTGTAATTTTAGTGCAATTAACGCCTGAAGATGCCTTTTTGGCGAAACTAATCGCATTTACTATTTTCTACAACAATAAATTTCATGCATGGGGAAGGTATTCTTCCAGACGTTCCAATCGCTGTTTGTGATGATTTTGTATCTTCTCATCAAGCGGATTTTCCAAGCGATAATGCATATAATTACATTATGCTCCCGAACTGCCGTTAAAAATCTTGTTGGGGTTGTTGAGGTGCTTGCTTTGAGGATTGATAATTATAACTCTATATAGCGTGATCCAACTGAAGCCGGCTGCTAACTTTTTCTTAATTATTGACGTACGTGGAATATTGTTTCACAGGATTGGATTGTTCAAATCAGAAAAACGTTTAGGCATTGAGTTATTGAGGCATTCAACAAAATTACATTTTTTTATGGAAGGCAACAGTTACAAAGCACATTCTAAAAAAAACGGAACTTAACGTAAGCTAAAAGTAAAGGAATTGTAGTTAATTCACTGTGTTTGGTACAAAAAACCTAATAATAGCAAGAATGCTATTAAGTCCAGCAATCAACGCGATAATTGTTTAATTTACCAAGTTTAATAAAATGTAATTTTTTTACTGAGATCTGTTGAATGTTTTTTGTCTTTGTTTTGCGTTTAGGATGTCTTTAATGCACGGAGTATGTGTAATTTTTCGTTTAGAAATTTTGTAGAATATCCAAGAAGGTGTTTTGTTGAAAAATCTTATATTCTTAAATACCTCCATATTCTTTTTCTGATAAGCCATTTAGAACGGGAACGCACTGTATGATATCATTTCTAGGTCCGAAACGTAAATAAACTAGTAAAAGTTAATGAGGGACTTCACGGAATCTTGCTAGAGCTTTCAACGGAAAATAGGTACCTATTTTCTTCAATTTTGTTTAAATTTCTTTAAATAAAAAAATTATTTACCACAATTTCGCGAGTGCCATAAAACCAAGCACTCGTAAGTATGTAAACGTCCGAGCTAACGATAGAGTCCAAATATACCTACCTCAGTACCTCAGACGATATAATGATGATTTCCACAAGTTCACCCCCTTCGCCGAAAAGAGATTTAAATTAGCGATCAAAGGATTACTGTCCTCGATCCATTGTACTGACTGAAATTATATTGTTGGGAACAAATAATCCCAAATGGTGTTATGTATGGAGATGCAGATTTGGGGTGCTTTTCTACCAACAGCACCCAACTCCAGCATTATAGATACCTACTGTGGAGTGTAGAGGAGTCAAATTACTACATTGGGCATAAAACGTGTTTAGCTAAATCATTGAATAATAAATCTGAATTCTTTATTCATGGCTAAACTATGCACCCTCTTAGGAATTTTGTAACTTTGGGGTACTAATCTAAATCAAAACGCTTGACTAAAAATACCATGATCTAAGCATTTCGTAAATGAAATTATTTTGGTCGGAATGAATGTTCAAACCCCTCATTTATGCATGGGAGCTTAGGTGTGCACTGTATATGTCTATGGACACTTCGCTTCATTAAAGTGTGGGCAATACCCCAAACAACCCCCTTATGAAGCTGTAACCCATGACCACGCACCTTATAATTTATAATAAATTAACTAAAATGCAGCATCGTTACCACTGTTTGTTTGCGTCTTCCAATTTTTTTCTTACATGTAGTAAATCAAGGAAGTTACACAATATGTAGACGCAAAAATATTTGGTGTATATCGCTGCATTTAATTAAATAAATATAAAACGGTAAGTGTTCCTAATGATTGTAATTTTAATACTTAAACAAGAATCCTTTCATTTATGTGATAAGGAGAAGCGGGGGAACAGACTCTACGGCCTATGCATTATTGGCCACAGGTAACTAATGCATTACTATACGTTGACATGCGCGTATTTCGAGTTTCGCCGTCGAAGAGAGAGAGTCGTTTCGTTCGTCTTCCCGTGGTGGTTCGTATTAAAACCGATAAGGGTAAGTTTTAGAATTATAATTATGGTATTAATACTTTGTAAATCAAAAACACAGCAACTAATTTGTGTCAGAAAATGAATCAAATCTTTTCATGGACAGTACTCGTCCTCCTTCGGCAAATCAGTCATTTAAGAAATTTGCGTATTTAAGTGATCTGGTTTTTATTTAAATTTTTGCCTATTTCTCTATAGACGTAGCTTAAGCGTTAATCGTTCCTAAAACATGGATATTTGCCTATTTATACTAATTCAAAAAGAATATAAAACAGTTAAACCCATCGAAAATGTAACAACTTCTTGCTATTTGTATATCTTGAATTAAATTTGCAATTGTGTGGCACAGATGTTTGGACTTTGCCTATTAGTCATCTCTTCACCTGGGCCCGATTTATTTCTATAAAATGTTCTTATCTATATACTTGACCATTTCCTTTCACTTAATTATAATCAATCTAGTGTTTTTATTTCAATTTAGTCTTTAATGTGGCAATAATTATTTTAACAAAAAATCTTCGAAGTGTATACAAAAGCCCCACGACCTGGGCATCGCCTCCTTTAGTCGATATTAATTACTTTCAGATTTTTGCGCACAATGACGGAGGTGTTGTGTAACTTATCAACAACTGCCTTGTAAAATTAAATAGAATTACTGGCGGCAATACTTATAATTCGTTAGGGCATTTCGAAAATGGAGTTAAAACACATAATCTCTATAACTGGGGAAGGAAACCTAGGAGTACATTCGTGGTTTGAGTAAGCATAATATTCCAAACGGCCCAAAGAATGTTTTTATGGGCCGTTATAGATTTTCTAGCGCCATTCTCATGGCCAAAGTGTGAAATTTTATTTAAAAATTGACTAGAAATGCAGCGATCAAAGCTTATTTGTGAAATCATGAAGTTATTAAGTCCAGGTGGGAAGCAACTGGTTTCCTAATCTTAGTAAAAATATATAGAGCATTAAACTAAACTCATGTAAGTCTCCATTAAGTCATTAAGTTTAAATTGACACGAAAGCTACATCTACAGGGGATATGAAGAATATTTTATATATTCCGCAATTATCGATTTTCTCACGATAAATGGGACACCCTGTATATAAATTATTTAAAATTACGAAACTGGTAGTCGCGAAGTTTACCCCGCAACTACCAAAAAATTGATCGTTACACCCCAATTCGTCTTGCAGACACAGTTAAACCCCAATAAAACATCCCCTCAAATTGATCTTTTCTAGGCAAAAATGCTTTCTTCAAAATATTGTATCACCCCTATTTTTATTACTATTCAATTCCGAATTCCATGTCCTAGATACTGCGACTACACGCGTTTTTTTTTACTTTTGTTTGTGTTTATTACTAATAGGTAATTAATTTATTGTCTACAGTCAAGCAACGTTGCTTCCGGTAGTACTCGTGTTTAAATGGCTAACAACTCGAAATCTGCGCTCGTTAATGATTTCTAGGGAAATTTTAAACTTTTTTTAATTTTTAAAAACAGCAGGTTAAAAAATTTTGAAATTTTAGTAAGCCTCTTTGTGTAATAGATGTGGTATCAATTTAACACCAGAGCACATACTTTGTGTTTGTGTAACATACCAAAATGAGCGTGACCTATTTAAAATTAGTGAGATATGGGAAACAAATTTTGCTAGTCAAGATCGCTGTCGAGGTGTGTTGGGATTCATGCGAAGCATTGGAATTTTAAATGATCTGTGATAATCTGTGATATTATGCGAGGCATTGGAATTTTGAATGAAATGTGATATTAGTATGTATGTATGTTGCTTAGTTCTTGTTCGTCGTACTTGTCTATATCTGTGTAAAAACTTTTCAAAGAAAAGTAATAAAAATGGGTGATAGGCAAATGGCCTCAGCAGCCGAAGCCTTAGGAAAAAAAAAATGTTGGTTTGCATTTCTAGAATAGAAATCAATTAACGCTTCAATAAAGTAGATTAAAGCATTTTGGATTTTCATAGGAATGGGTGACAACGATAAATTTTTAACGCCAACGACCCTGGATCCTGTGATTACTGAATACACAATATCACAAGTGATTCGAAGGGAGTACGAGGTTATAAGGTTACGAACCCTTCTTTTGTGACCTATCATATCAAATAAATTTTGATTAAGGCCAGTATCCAAACGTATATGCATTAATTTATATGGTTTCTTCATTAGTTATCATTTAAGAAATCCATAAATTGGGTGTGGATTCTATTAAATTACTAAATTATTGAAAATAAATATATACTTTATAGCCTCTCAAAGTCGAACTTATGCGGCACCTAAAAATTATTTATTAATTTAATAAATAATAAAGTTTTAATGTATACCCGACCTAAGTAGAGCATTTATCTACCAGATTCAAAACAATCTCTGCGATTGATGCACTCGTTCAAGAGCTGGCCTATTTGAAAATCATATATAAAGAATACATTGAAATATCTAGCGTGTTTTGCGTCATTTTGGTCTCAATATTGGAGTTCAATTTTGAGTACAGTGCCCCCTTTTGCGTTTTTCGGATATTTATTCAAATTAAATCTTAAAAGTTGCATGAAAAACTATTCAAACCGGTAAATAGTTTGAGTATCGAATCAGAGAAATTTAATTTAAAATCATTAAGCTGAATTACATTACTGGGCATCTGAAAACGTGAGTTTGAACGATCATTGCAATTTTTGACATGCCCGTTATTTGCAATGTGCAATTTTCGATATATTCGCTCTTAAATATGAGGAATTATAATCGATCACGATAAGGGATCGCGGTGGATGACTGTAGTTGGTAAAAATTAATTTTTTTCGTTGAGATCTTTCGTTCGAGTACCCCAACCCCTCCATTTTTAAAAGGGGAAGGAAGAAAGGCGAGAGTAAATAGAAAACAGTTCCTTAATTCTGCAAATGTTCTTTTCATAATCCTTTAGGGATGCGCGGTAGAAAGCAAAACGTTTAGAAAATCCCCTGCTACACAATAATGTAAAATAACGAAAGAGATTTTCGTAAGCAAATTTTATTTTAATTAAAAGTAACATTCATACTCAGATTTATGTCTAAATTTTTAGTAGTAAAGAATAACGACAAATGGGAATAGTTTCATATATCGATAGTAAAATATAATTTTTTAAAAATAAATATTACTTGCAATCAAAAGACTTAGGGAACAAAGGTATGTACACGTAAGCACCATTTTAAATAGCAATAATAAAATATTAAATTTCGCGTTGATTATATAGAGATGTGCTTAATAGGTAGAAAAATGACGAAATGGCACAAAATTTAGGAAAAAACGCGAAAACATATAAATTAAGTATCAATAGCAAAATGATAAAAATTAATTAACGTATTGAACTTTTATCTCAAGTCCATCCATTACGAAACTTCCACTTTGAAAGGAGAGCCCGGAACATGATCGTCGCCCCACTTGAGAATAATAATATAGTCACCGCGTTCTCGAACAACATAATTGACTTGATATTGATTATGGCCTTGGTGTTTGATGAAGACTTCTTCGCAAGGACCCTTTGGTCCATGTACTCCCACAAACAAGATATTCGTGCCTGTAAAGCAATTTGAGGTGCGTTCGCACTATCATTCCGTAACTTACCAGCTGTATTGGCGGAGACTGTAAACTGATTTTGCTTCCCAATATACGCTTTCTTTAAGCCCATTCCTTTTGAGCTCACTTTAGAGGCGTCACTTTTGAAAACTGGCAGTATTGACGCCTTTACACCGCCTTCTTTACTTACTTTGGCAACAGTTTCAACAATAACCGAAGACGTTTCTTGCGAACCAACATCGACCATCGTAGAATCCCCTGAAGAGGCATGTTTACGTACTTTGAAAATAACAAATGATGCAAACATACCTGTGCTGTGAACTTTAAATGGAGAACCAACAATATGATTGTTGTTGTATTTTATGCTAACGTAGTAATCCCCTGGAGCTAATGGTGTATAACGAACTTTGTACCCTTCTTCTACCTCTGTGCAATCCATAGAGACCTTACTTGGACCATCAATGGTGACCGCCAATGTACCCGCACCGGCGTTAAGAGTGTCAATGACGAAATCAGTTTTAACACCTTCATTCAAAAGTAACGTTTAATATTGTGCATTTATAGGATTTTATTACCTGTCTTAATATCCTTCAAGCCATTTCCATGAGCATGAACGGCCGCAGGATCGGCAGTGTCTTTACCAACTTTTACTTGGAATGGTGATCCAGGGATATGGACCCCATTGTACTTCACATGAATTTTATGGATTCCATTTTCTCTCGGCATAAATCTTACGGAATATTCCTCTGCGTCAATAATTTGAATGAAGCAATCATCTTCATGGCCAGAAGGTCCTATGATCTGCGACAAATTTTGGTAAATTGTGAATCCCTATACCTAATAAAGGTTACTTTGCCATCGAGGTCTCCTTTTCCAGCCCCGTTTCTTTTCACAATGAAATGAGAAGGTGTATCGGCCTGAACACATCCTTGAGGGAATTGCGCCACTTCTAATAAATGGGCGTCTCCAACAGCCGGTGAAATGTAAACTTTATACGGAGAATCTGGCACATGCTCATCGTTGAATTTAATCCCAATTCTATATTCGCCTATTACATTCAGAAAAAAAACATTGCGTTAATAAATGTGGCGCTATACTTATTTACCTACATTATAAAAATAAGTTCGCATGTAACAAGGTCAATAATTTACGAACCTTCGCAATGCAGCGCTATTTTTGTCATATACAACAAGGATTAATGGGCCTTACCTGGTTCTGAAACTTTATACGCAACGTCACAAGATCCGTCTTTACGATCCGTAAATTGAATTTCAGCTTTGCTCGGTCCTTCAACAGATATGGCCAACTGACCACTACCGGCTTCTCTGGTCCACACGTTAAATTCGTTAATCTCTCCTTGTTCACCACGTTCTAAACCGCCACCTCCCGCTTTAACTAAATGAGCTCCGTGATCCCTTAAGGGTCCAACCGTAAATTGGAATGGTGAACCTTCATTTAGAAACAACTGGTAATGTGGGAGATCCTGTCAAAGGGTAGGTATAACTCACCAGGTATGTGCATATCCTTGTACTTAACAGAGACGGTATGAATACCCAGTTCTTTAGGGACAAAGTGAACGGCATACAAGCCATCTTGAACTTCATTGATTTCTGCATCTTCGGTGACCCCACCCGGCGAGGTTACGTTGGAGGACAAATCAAATGCTGTAATACCTAAAGAAAGTATGAGCTGAGTAATGCATACATTTTGAAATATCTGGCAAATGCTGTGGCACAAAAATATTTTTCGCAGCCATTTGCCCGGTATGATCGAAATATCATGGTACGTACCTGGCATTTTGAAGGTCAATTTACATTGACTTCCAACTTCGGTAATTGGAACCGCTTCGCGTTCCCTTTGGATCTTTTCACGTTGGCGATTAGAACCCTCGCCCGTAATTTTGGCAGTAAACGGAGATCCTTGTACATGATGGTCGGCGAATTTTAAATTAATGATGTAGTACCCAGGTTCGGTGGGTTTGTACGAAATATTTAAGGTGCCGTCTTCCTTATCGTTGCACTGGATTTCTGCCTTGCTAGGACCTTCAATGGAGAGCGACAAACCTCCAAAACCAGCATTTCGCGTATCGACAGAGAACATGTTGTCTACCTGCGTTTTACCTTCTTTTAATGCCGTTCCCGAAACTTTAACTTTCTTCGCGTCTCCAACCTCTCTTTCACATACGTTAATTTTAAAAGGAGAATTTGTAATATGTTTTCCCATTTTTTTAACTGACACAACATGTTCACCAATTTCACGCGGCGTAAACGATATTCCGATATTGCCAGTAGGTAGTCTCTTTAAGAAGCACGGTTCTTCCAAGCCGCTAGGAGCTTGAATCGAAGCGTTTAGAGCGCGGATGTCATCGTCAGATATTTTTCCCGGTAGAGAAACTTCACTACACGATCCAACAGATATTTGATTACGTTTTCGACCTTCCCCAGTAATTTTGGAGTTGAACGGCGAACCTTTAATGTGTTTATCTCCAAACCTTACTGATATTTTGTATTCTCCGGGCGCCGTAGGAAGATATGACACCGACACTGTTCCGTCTTTATTGTCGTGGCAACTGATTTCGGCTTTACTAGGTCCTTCTACGGCTAACGATAGGCCGCCGGCTCCAGCACCCTTTGTGGAAATGGTGAAATTACTGGGTTCGCCACTTACACCATGCGTAAGCCCGGGCCCATAAGCAGTTACGTAGCCCGAACTTATAGAATCTACGTGGAATTTAAATGGAGAACCTTGGACGTGTTCGCCGTTGTACTTCACCGACAATTCGTGAAGCCCTTCCTCACGTGGATCGTATTTAATGCTAACGGTTCCATCCCGATTGTCTTCGATTACAGGTTTGTCTATGTTTCCGCTTGGCATTTTGATATCCGCTATAAAGGAAACATTTCATAAAGCGGGGTAATTGCAATTATGCAAAAAAAAAGCGCAAAAACCACCTACCTTTATGGGTGTGAATAAAGTAATTTGACCGAAAAGTTAAGGGATCAAAATTTAGTCCAAACCTTTCACCCGCAAGCGGATTTGATAGTTTATCAATATAAAATACAGTGCTTTCTTCGTGATCAATATCGGAATAAGTAATACATTTGTAATTTTCTAAAAATAATGTTGAAATTTCGGACCAAGTTGCTTGTTTAGGTTTTTTTAACCACGAAAACATATTCTATGAAACACAAACATAAAAAAGTAGAACCGCTTAATTTAAGAAAAATTAATTCCAGTAGAAAATAACTTTTTACGCGAAGAATAAAGCGATACGGTTCACCACTTGCGTCGGTGGTATTAATGAATATGTCGTCCGCACACCGTGAAATCTCAACGGTACTGATGTCAAAAATTTAATATTAAGATTATATCCATCCCTATCAAATACTTAATAACTTGTCATACCAACAGCTGCACGCGAAAAATATGAAAAGCAGGTAAAATATGTAACTTCTAAAAATATAAAATGTTGTGAGGTAAAGTTGGGATCATCCCAATAAAAAATTGACTATTAATTAACTTTCAAATTGGGGGTTTAAAATTGTACGTGCATTTTACACGGGGGTTTATACCTATAAACGCCAGTACACAATACCTATTGTAATTTAGCTATAGCTTAGTTCAAATGGTTTAACGTAATGGTAGTTGCCGGAAGCTTGCTAATGCCAAAATTAACTAGATGTCTGGTCATTAATCGAAATTTTCGTGAAACTGTAACGCCCCATTTACGAACTTGGCATCAATTTTAAAATGTAAAATGGTCACAGCATGTAAGAAATAAAATTCTCAATTAACTATCTCCTTTTATCTCATTTGCTAAATTAAAGTTGGGATGATTAACAATTTGACAAAAAATTGAAAAAACCCCATTGTAAATTTGTGCTGTACTTGAGAATTTCTGTGACGGTCGCGTATTTTAACGGAAGATGAGAAAAGTTATAAAAATTCCGGAATTTAAAAATAGAAAACATACCGAGTTATTACATTGACATATTTCAACCGATTTTTTTATAATTTCAAAATTGCGGGGTATGAAACCACGGAATAGATAATTAGAAACCATACGATACTAGTTATTGCGCAAAATTAATGATATCCGAGAGTGCCCACATTGCATGTAATAAAAGTGCATACTTTTCGGTATTAATTTTATTAACATGTATTAAAAGCTGCTATATTTTGAAATCTATGCCAAGTTATAATTTAATTTGCGAGATTTTATAAGATGTACTGCTTCGCATCTATTTTTTGACAATGAAAGTTCTAATCGAAGCAGAAAAAAAATAATTTAACGTAAATGTGCCTTTTGCCCTTTAAACGTTAAAAATATGAATGCATAATAATGGCCGTTTTTTGGCAAATTTTGTCATATGAAAGTGTATAATTAATCATGGTTTTTGACAGCTTGTTTAATAGTTGGACGTAGGTGAAGTATAAGCAATTTGGAAACGGTCACTCATTTTAAGCCATCTGTTTTTCTCCACAATTTGCTCATATGAACTGAAAAATTTGTAGCGATTTTTTAAGACAGTTGGATGTCAAATATTATTGCCGATACAGAGCTGATTTAGCTAGCCGAATTAACTACTCTCGAAGGTGGTGAATCGATGGTCCAATGCCAATTATGCAACGACCATGTGAAATGCATAAACCTCTCCGCAGAAGAATACGAAAGACGAAAATCTTCATTATGCTCCACGAGTAAAACTTCACAGTCACTTCCTACATCTGCCAATAGTAAATCTATAGCCCGTCTCCCTTTCCCTTTCAACTTATCATGCCCTAGAACGAACCATTTCCATCTCAATCTAAAGAAACACTAATAGAAAATCTCCAAATCTGTAGGAAACAATATAATGTTGACAGAAAATATTATTAGTATTATTATAACCAAAATGCGTAAGAAACTTTTTCTGAAATATGGGCATCATTACCCCTGGAAGACAAATAGTTTAGAAACGAGAATATTGGCTACATTCTTTTCCAGTCAAAGACTGTTTGGTGCAAAGATGAGATTTTCGAAAATAGGTAGGTACATATACTAAAAAAAAATATCGTAAACTACCCACTGCTAGGCAGTGGATTAAAACAAGTTCTGCACATACAGTCAGGGGGGGGTAAGAAATAGAAATTGGGTTGCAGGTTGCTGATGCTGGTAGTCATTTATCTATTTATTATTGTACAGGCGAAAAAGATTAGATTAGAACGGTATTTTATTTCTTACTGCTGACAGGCCCCTTTATTGCTTTTGATTTAATTAGTCAACGAAAACTTTGAATAAGTAATAGGTATATTTATGGACAAGAAACCAATTTCGACAAAAAATTCAAAGGGCTGTAACTTTTGATCTAGTAGTCCGATCTTGGAACTGTTTGGAATTATGGATTCTACAGGCCACATTCTAGAAGAAAATATTTTTTTCCGGTCGATCTGAGACAATTTTTTTTTCTGGGCAAAAAAAAAGGCAGTTATTACCTTCCTTTTTTACCAAAAATCGACTGCACCAAAATTTCTCGGGAAAAAACTTTTTCTTATTAATTTGGGTGCGTAGAATCCAAAACGATTCGTACTTTTTCGATTAGACGTCTCGATCAAAAGTTATGGGCAAAAAAATTCCTGTTTTTAAAATTTAAAATTCTTATTTTCGTCATTTCGTGAAAGGCAGGACGCAGGTACCTCACCTCAGTAGCAGTACTAAGTACCTGATACCTATTTGTTATTTTGGGCATCAATGTAGCGAATTGCCGATCGATGCCGAATAGCCAAATCGTTGACTGCCAACACTGATCACTCACTGAATAGTGAATACTGAATACTACAGAATATTTAGATTTTAGTGACTTTAGACTTTAACCAAAACCAAAATTGCTCTCTATATATACCTATATATTATTGCCTTTATTTTAAAGTGGGCGGAGCGGATAGCGGAGTATTACCTAAATACCTAATAGCTATGATGATAACTCAATTCTTCTGGAGGGGGGATATATCCCCTTCATCCGCCCCGTAAATACGCCACTGCTGCTAGGCAAAATGCGTTATAATCGCACTTTCGTTGTACACTTACCCCCGTTCTCATTGCAACCTAGAGCAGTCAGTTGAAAAACATTTTTGTGTGATGGGAGTGTTTTGTGTATGTTGAATCAGCCAAGAGGCCGTTGGCACTTTTAATTGGCTTAACTCAAAACTGACCGATCTTTTTTTGGTTTTTGTGTTTACCGAGTAAAATTGTATAAGAATTCATTCTTTCTATACACAACTAACTACTTTATTCTGATTGCCATACTAACAAACTAATTTAGGTTTTTTTTTTCATGTCTATCTGACAGTTAATTTGCAGGAGAACATATGTTACTCACATAGGTTATTAATTAACTTGAAAAACTGAGGGTAACATACCTGTAACGTGTCCTCCTGTAGTCGGCAGAGGAATATTATCAAGGTTTACAACCCTATAGGATGGTTGCTTCTGAAGTGGGGCGGTAGTCTTCTTTACTTCTGTGTGCGTACCGGAATAGGTTTTCTCGGTTTGTGTTATATGTTCCTCTGCCTAAAAGAGCAAAAATAGATTTTTGGAGATGTAGATTACATGGAAAGTATTAAAAAAGCACACAACATATTTTTTTAAGCAAGCTAGTTTATAGGATTTGAATTATTTTAGTTTTACATATAAATAGATTTGCAGCAGTTGGTAATATCGCGCATAACATTTCCTATTACTATATTTGAGAACCGTCGCCAACGACGTCTTTAATCACACAACCTAGAACCCACGTAACATAATTTAGATGCTTATGAAATTTAAAGTGCGATGTAAATATCTGTGATTTATACTAGGAAAATATTTTTTTAAGACTATTCCCATCAAACAGTAAACGGAAATATTTTAGCAATTAACAGTTCTAATCCAAAAATAGAGCCAAATTTTTCTTTGAACCTTATGCTGCCAAATCTTCACTTCACGGAGATCAATTCGTATTAGTAAAAGTAATTAATAATTAAGCAAATTAAATGTTCAGCTGTGATGTAAATGTCGGGTCGGTTGTAATTATTCCGAATGTAAATTAGATAAACTGCTTGTGTATCAAGTAATTAATTCTAATGCTCTTATTAATGAACAATTTGTTGCCAATGCAAATCACGTACAAGCGTATATCATTAAAGCACACTTTGATTGTAGTATAGTATAGTTTGTACAGTTGTAACTGGGAGATGTCAATAGTGCAGGTTACAAGCCTTGTTGTTTTTGGCACATACTCTGCTTATATAAATTATAACACTTCTAGTCACAATAAAATCCAAGTTAAATTTCAACTTATCGAATCCACCACTGTGGAGTCCAATTTGATAATTTTAGAAAGGTGCAAACCATGTTAAATTTATATGAGATTGTTACGCCAAAAAAAAGCTAGTCTAGAACAATGCCACTAACTACGCCAAAATAGTGACAAACTTTGGTCCAATTTGCAGAGACATATTGTAACAGGTGCGAAGACTTAAATAATTCCAGCAATGAATTAATTACTTACACAAACGCAGTAAGCACATTCCATGCAATTTATCAATCAAGACGATATATGAACTGAACCGCACATTTCAATCTGCATTTTTTAATGAAAAATTATGCCACTATTGTGAAAAACTGAAGGTTTAATACGCACTTAATGTTTGACCTTGGGGGTAAGTTTCCCAAAGGAAGGTTTCGAACAAGTCTGCATGATTGCATTACGAAAAGTTGTGTCGAAAACCAATTTAAAGTAACACAACACAATTACGTTTTTCTAATTTACCAATGTTCAAGGATCGCCACAAAAATAGCAAAACTCTTACAGAACAATAAAATATTTTCAACACCCCATTTAATGTTCCTCCATGAATACAAGAGTATACTAGTGCCAAGGTAACTTGAAAGAACATGCAGTCTAAAAATCTCTACACCTAGGTAAATTCTCGCTAATTTATGTACAATAGTCAAACATAAAGCCAACATTTTCTAATAATGAGGAGCACAATCGAGAATCTATTTCGGCACTGAAATTATTACACAATTTTCGAGATGCAAACCTAATATTAAAAAAAAGCCAGAATTGTGTGCATGCATTTAAATAGCTTGTTCCAAATAGTGGCAAAATTAAAATTTGAAATGATCACGATGGTAACAGTTTTATAATCAGAATTTGCTCGTTTTAAATCAAGAAAATGAGTTTCAGTGGTGAAACTCTAAGTAAATTCAAGTTACTAATAATTTTAATTTGGCAAGTGTGTGAAGTAATAAATGTCACCTCAAACTCCCCAAAATACTTAAAAATCGTTTAATTGAAACGATCAGCGTCCATAAACGTACCTTCTTGTGGCACGTACTAATCCACGTGGGAACAAGACACTACACTAAAAGTAACTGAAAGACAATGAAACTTTCAGTACAAAATGCATTATTTGCAAAAAATTAGGTGGGTCACGCCCCTTAGTAGGGTGGATGCCCAAAATACCCAGCACCTTCGGGATTTGTCGATTGTTTTCGTCTATTTTTTTTGCAAATTGTCCGAAAAAGCAATATTTGTAATAATTTCAAAAGAAAACAGCGTGCGAATTGCTTCCTGTGCTTGAGATAAATTATATACCTACACGTCTCGCGCTATTTATTTATAATGTGTTCAGAAGATGCTTTCATCTTTCATTTTTCGACAAATAACCAGAAATTATAAAGAAAACTGTATGCTTTTGTTACGTATTCATCAGGAGCATGTTCTAATCGTTTTTATATTTGGAGGATCCTCAAATAAATACATTTTTACTAATTTTATTTTAAATATAAATCGAGCTAAATTATGTTAGTCTATCTAGCATAGGGAACATAAATAGATAAACTTCTCAGTCAGGAATTTAGAGTATTCCGTTTCATAAATTCGGGGATAATTATAACTAGGGAAATCGAAAATGTTAAAACAATCTATATCGCGTAGCCCTTAAATGGAAAATTTTTAAAAATGCAGTTACTCTACATGCTCAAAAAACACTACTGCTGTTTATACTCTTCAAATTTTATGCGATTCGTTCAGCTCGTGCATATTAGTCAAACTTCAAAAACGCTTTGGTTAGTATGCTACTGTACTCATCATTAAGTAGGGTACACTTACCTTTTAATAGCTGAACTGTACGAACCGCAAAAAATCGAACATACTCCGAATGTACAAACACGTACTTAACACCATATATTTATACGTATAGCCCACGAAAGGGAAAAATCAATTTGCAAACCAAAAATATTTATTTCGTTATACAGAAACTAGTTCTAGCACTCACTCACTTGGAAAATTGTAAAAAAATTCTGAATACTGTAAACGCGCATGCAGCATTAATTCTTAAACTTTTCATAAACGGGATGAAAGAAAATACATAAAACATTATATAAATATTATTGAGTGTACACAAACAAGACACATGCGTAAAATATTTACATTACAAATAGTAAGAGAGGTTTTCCATTAAAAAATAATGGAACTGTAAAAAATTGAGAAGATGCATGCAAAGTGATGACAATAAATTATGTAAACAGTCTCTACCGTTCTAGATCATTACATACACTCGGCTCTTTTATTCTGTAACCTTCACTACTTCAAAATTGGGTACGTGCACCCAGAATTCTGCAAAATATATAGAGGATACAAGCTGCGACTTTTAGAGAATAATACTGATGAATTGTGTAATCAGCGTGTAGGCTCTGTTTTTTACAGAATAACTTTCAAAAGTCTACCCCCATACCACAAACATGAAAGATGTATCCCTAACTTGAAAATAATGGGCGGTTTACATTACTATAAACCTTAATTAGAAAAATTCTCATTCTCACTTACAGTGAAAGTGTAAAATCCTCCAGAAACTGGTTGGCCACCAAACTTGATACTGACGGTGTAATCCCCGGCGTCTTTAACGTTGTAGTAAATGTTGAATGTTCCATCACCATTATCGACGATATCAATATCGAGATCACTGTAACAAAATTGCTTTTGAAGTTCCACTTTCGAAGGAAATCGACATATTTGTCCAGTGTCTTTTGAAACCTTCAGTTAAATGAAAATAAGTTCCTTACTTTGCTTGAAAAAATCACACAACATAAAGCGCTTTTACACGACACCGGAAATTGACTCTTAATTAATTTGTTATTTCAAATGGGATATCCTTTTTCATGAATTTTTGAAAAACGGCACCCACTGACAAAAATAAATTACCTTTTGTAAGACAAACAAACTATAGCCACTATTTTTCAGCATCTATTTAATTAGGTCAAGATTTTACCTATTATATGTAAAAACTGGTTTTTATACAGGTTGTGCAGGAGTCAAATTTATCATTTCGAAATTGATTTTTTTAAATGGTAGGTACACTATCGATCAATGGAAGTCTATATCTAAAATGAACAGTTTTTATAAAAAGTAAAACGAACATTACAATTTAACATAAATCTTTGCTCTGTAATTTGGAGAATAAAATGAAAAAAGACTGCTTGGGTTGCTGTTTATGCGGTGAACATAAGCTCGGTGTGTGTGTAAAAAGAATGGGAAGGAATGCTCCCAGGTGTCACACTGCTTCCTCTAAATCAGTTAGGTTTTAGTAATGAGGACCAATTTGTCAGTGATCTGTGGAGAATGTGACAAAATGGCACTAAGACTTTGGACGTTGAGGCCCAAAATTTATTTGTGCTTTTTATGAACAAGAGCATTGAATCATCAAAGCGAAGTAATTATTGAATATGTGCGCTTCGTTGCCCGAAATGAAAAACTGTTCATTTTAGATAAAGGTTTGTAACCATAAAGTGCCCTATTCAGGACAGAATTCGTTGATGAAGAATCGCATACGATTTTCAGTAGGGGAATTTTTTGTCACTCAGCTCGTATTCGGAAACCAGACTTTTTTAATCCGACTCATATTCAATAGCACTGATCCTTGAACACATGAAAATGAACTGATTCGTATATCATTCGACGAGGAAAAAATCTTCTTTCGATTGGTGTTATTATAAGCCCTCTAATAAGTTAACATGGGGAGCCAACTATCTACAAAAAACCTTTTTCATATGTTAATTCCCTATGTTCGGTTTGGGAATATTCACCCGGTATAAGCAAATCCAATTGTGTTTCGAGTGAGTTCTATCATTCATTCGGAGTGAAGTATATTACGCTCCCTCTCGTATGTTGTAAATTGTGAGTGATAGTAATAAATTATTAATCCATTTCAAGACTGTTATAAATTTATTGTAAGTATGTAAATAAATAAATCATGTAATTAAATTTACGTTACAGCATCATCTCAAACTTTTAGAAATCTAAGAGAAGACAATTAAACTTGCGTTTTAAATTTTAGATTACTTTATGTTCAAACGGAAATTATTATAAACACGCAATTTTTTAGTCTTAGTTATAACTCACAACTTTCATTATAAAATGCAAAACAAACTTGGGATCCCAATATATCTCGAGAAACTAACCTCCGGATTTTGGGACTATAATTTGTACCCACTAGGAAATTATGAGGTGTAAACACACGTGCATGGTATTCTAATCAAACGAAAGGAATTTGGTTCTACAAACTATACCTAACCTTCCTCATCGATTCCTTTGAGATCAGTGGGTGGGGGTTAGAAATTTATTTTATCGTTCATAGTATTCTAATGAAAGGTCTCAACGAAAGCAATTAATTTCTAGTGATCGGTTGTATGGAGTTCCTCATATCTCTAGAGATGAGTGTCGGATGCGAGTACTCACACAGCGCGACTTACAAATTGGGAAGAAATATATCCGTTGATGATGTCAAATCTTTAAGGGCGAATATCTCCAAAATGAAGTATCGGAAGAGGCACTCATAAGGGTACTCTTAAATGTGAAATGTGAATATCTCGAAAATCGAGGTTCGAAAGAAGGTACCTAGGCAGGGAAAATGCAAGATTGCGGACCTAAGGGCTTGATTATTCTTGCAGTGTATGGCGTAGATTTTGAATGTGTGCCATGCGGCCTTTAAATGTTTATGTGTAATGAGGTCTCTCTCTATTAGTCATCTACCAAGCAGGTAAATAGCATGCTATACCCCACTATACCTTATAACCCAATTATTTGCTATGCGCTTTATCTGCACAAGAGTTGTGCACAATTTGTATCTACTTTATAATAAATTGCACTTTTCTCTTATGCGCCGCCAAAAATAGCTTCTGCGCCATTACTGTTTTTTTTGCAAATGTTAAGGATGCGTATGCTATCTCATTCTTGTGGTTGTTGAGCTCAATTGCGTCCTAAAAATAAAATCCAGGGCCGAAAGTAACCCATACAGGTACGATAGAGCCACATTTCCTATACGAGCCTGGAAGGTTTCCATATTCTTTGCAAAAAAGTATTTTTACTCAGGATATCAGGTGTAACACATCTAATTAGTATCCGGATATTTGAAAATCGCTTAAAACATTAAATAACGAATAAAGAAATGAAATGATAATGAAGAACTTTTGAAAATATGAGGGTAGATGTCTTTGTTTAAATTTTAACAAGGCATTATACAGTGTGTCAAATTGAAAATTTTCAATGCGAATACCTATCATCAGTCCTATCACGCCAAGTAGAACAATTGCAAGAATGCGGTTTGGAATAACTGGAATAGAGGTTGTGGGAACGGGAACTAGAGCCAATTTATTTTTGTCACGAAGTGAGTCATCCCCTAAGCGCCCCCAACTCTCCAATTTCCTTAAACTAAAGGTCTCATGTGACTAGTATCCATCTGCTTAAGAAATATTTGCCATTAAACTCCATTGCACGTAATCAAGTAGGTAAAACGATATTTCGTTAAAAAGAATTTTAGGCGAAGAATTAAAACATTTCCAATTTGTGATTTCTGTTATAAAAATGGGCACATATCTGTACGTAAAGTCAGCACTCTGTGGAAGTCGAGGAAACAAGGTTTGAGTATATGTACTTTATTTACAAAAATGATGGCACCTTTTATATAGTTTTACCATAGACAACAGTTTCCTGTGCATTTACCCCACTTTTACAACAAAATATTATTTCGACTGTTTCAAGGTAGGATTTGTAGGAAACACACTAACCGTTTACTTTTATAGCATTAGGCACATTGACCGTCTATCTGTGCCATTGGCGTAGCATGCCCAAATGGCGCCTATGGCAAGCACTAAAATTGGACCCCTTCGTAAATTACCTTAATACAAAACAAGACACAAAGATTCGCATACGATTTTCAGTAGGGGAATTATAATTAAAACAGCTCGCATTCGGAAACGACTTTTAATCTGGCTCAGATTCAATAGCACTGATCCTTAAACTCGCAGAAATCGATTGGCGAAGGTTCGACATTACTCTCAATCTGAATGTTTTATATTATGCAATTTTTCTTGCACGACAGTAATAATATTATCAATTAAAAAACGCGTCATTGACACCTACCTGCCAGAAGTCGATCGGATTCTACAAGTCACAGCACCAACACCCGCATTTTCTGCATTAACGACAATGCAACATTCTTCTCCGCTAACCAGGTGTTTTTGAGCGCCTTGCGTAATTTTACACTTTTCGGCCTAACAATGAATTCAATTTCAAATAAAAACGTTCTAGTTTTAGAAAACACTTACATTTCCCACTGCGTAAACCTGTACGTGGAAAGGAGATCGGGGAACTTCTTGATCGGCATATTTCACATCCACTTTGTACCTTCCACAATCGTCAGGAGTGAAGGTCGCCCCGAACGTTCCGTCCAAATTGTCTGTAATTTTTACTGGTCGCAAATGGCCATCCGGTCCCTAAGGGATCGCCAAAGATTACATCGATTCGTTTACCAAGCCGCGTGTTCTTACCATAATTCGAACTTCTAAATCACCATACCCAGCGTCGTTAGTGTCAACTTGAATTGTGGTAGGAATGGAGGCAGGCACGGATTTTTCGGTTATGCAGGGCCCGCTAAGTTTGACATTGTCGGGTTCGGCATAGGGACGAACTCGCAGTGGAAACGGACTAAATAGCAAAGAAAAATTAGTTCAATGTTATAGCATGTGACCTGCCTGACCTGTGAGGTATATCTTTCCCATTATATAAAATTTGCGCTTGCAAATTCGCCCCTTCGTTTGGAGGGATGTACGTTACGTCGTAAATACCATCACCGTTATCCACAATTTCGGGTTTCTTAGGTAAAGCTCCTTGATCAGATCGAATATTAACCGATAATGGAGCTCTGCCCGATTTTGACGTGTCAATGGTGAACTTTGTTGGTACGCCAGTTCTACAGTGTGATGGATCTAAGCCAGGCCCATATGCTGTTACCAAGTCTGCGTCGACCTCATACTCAATGTTCACCTGTACAAATAATTACATTCTGAAGAAACCACAGTACTACTTACTTTGAAGGGCGAACCAGTTATATGTTCGTCAGCAAATTTAATTGTTACATCATATTCCCCAGCTTCTGTTGGGATATACTCCACAGAACAGGAACCATCACGATTATCTGCACAGGTCATCTTCGCTTCAGAAGGACCCTCAATAGCTAACCCTAAACCTCCAGTTCCGGCACCTAGTTAAACGCAAATGTTAGAAGAAAATTTCTCGAATCCATTGCTTACCTTTTGTTTCTACAGTAAAAACGTTAGCTCTATTAACGAAACCTTGCTCAAGACCAGGTCCAAACGCTCTACATTTCTTGGCATCGCACCCTCGCCTTACATTAACTATAAATGGCGATCCAGGGACTGGCATATTGTCATAAAATATATCTATAGTATGTCTTCCTTCTTCAAATGGAGTGTAGCTAACTTTATAGGTCCCATCGAGCAAAGGTGTTACTAATTTTTCAGTTTGGGCACCCGACGGATTCGTAATTGTGCAGGTCACTTTACCATCATCTCGTAATTTCGGTATTCCTCGCGTATCGACCAAGAAATCCGTGGGAGAATCAACATAAACACCTAAAAATTGACAGTAAAGAATCACTTTATCTTATACATTCACGAAAACATGCAAATTTCACATTTCGTTAATCTATTTAACTACAAGGATATTAAGCTGCAATTGAACGGTTAATGGTAGTACACAAATTGTATCCATCACTATGTTAGAAACATGCGAGAACGCTTGTTGCACACCGATTTACCATGAAACTGGATACCATTTCCAGAGACTTTAATTTTGGTGAAGTCTACACCAGGTACAACAATAGCTTGGTAAGGGCTTCCAGGTATATGATCATTGTTAAATGTAATGTTAATAACGTAATCTCCAATTTCTGTAGGGAGATAGGCAACTGAGCATGTGCCGTCTCCGTTATCTCTACAGTTAATAGCGGCCTCACAAGGTCCTTCCACGGTTACACCAAGTCCCCCTTGTCCTGCTCCTCGAGTGTCTATCATAAACTCCGCCGGTTTGTTAACAATCCCTCTATGCAAACCGGGTCCGGAAGCCTTCACTTTCAAAGGGTCACTTCCGGTCAAGCAAGTTAATCTAAATGGCTTATGTGAAATTGGTTCTCCTCCGAAAGATATTCCGAGTAAGTATTCTCCAAGTTGGGTTGGGGTAAAATTAACGAGAAAACCTTCGTGCGTTGGAATAACGTGCGCTTTTACTTTACTTCCCGAGGGACTTGTAATAGAAACGGCAAATTCCGCCTTTCCAGCGCCGTGCGTTATAACTCGGAATTGTTGTAAACTATTCACTGGTGCCGCTATGGCCCACAACAGAGTTAAAACATTATTGTAAAGTTGTAAATATCCCACACCGTTCTTAACTAGACTAGGTTAGTATGAAATACTTACTTGGTTCCAATCCGTCAACTTTTATCTTCGACACATCGACATTTGGCTCGACTTTAAACTTGATTGGAGTACTAGGCACGTTGAAACCGCCATAATGCAGCGTAACTGAATGCGTTCCGGAGTGTGGAGTTTCATAATCTACAGTATAAGTTCCATCTTCGTTATCTGCAACGTTGACAGGAATTTCGTGTCTAGTGTCTTCATTCATAAGTACCACTTCTAAATCAGCCTGCCCAGCGTCTCTGTGAAACGCGTTACAGCACGTGTTAAAAAGGAATATTATACCTGGCGTCAACATTGAAATGGGCGGGCGTGTTAGTTTTCACTCCATTTTGGATTCCGGGACCAAAGCAGTGAACTTTTGTAATATCCAGTGGTTCTGACACAAAAACTCTGAATGGAGAGTTATTGGTTGCAACTCCTCCGTAATTAACCTGAACTGTGTGTTTATTTCCAGTTTTAGGGGTGTAAGAGCCGTCGACGAGACCGTCAGCTTTTTGTTTTAAATTTACGTCTACTTTGTTACACTTGGGGTCCATGACCTGTACGTCAAGTGGGGCCGATCCTGCTTTGCGCGTGTCAATGGAAAAAGTAGCAGGCTTCCCTTTGTGTACTCCTGTTGGTTCAATACCAGGCCCATACACCTCCACCTTATCAGGGTAGTAATCAGTGGTCGGAAAAATTTGAGCAATATATGGACTATTTGGAATGTCTTCGTTATCGCAAAGTATATGCACTGCATATTCACCTGGGGCGGTGGGGTAATACTTGATATCTGCAGAACCGTCTCCGTTATCGTGACAGTCTATTTTTGCTTGCGAAGGGCCTTGAATACTAAATCCTAATAACACTATATTAAAGAAAAAGTTTATCTATCATAATTCAGTACCTAACGCGCCCGTCTCTCCATGGGTTTCCACAGTGAACAGAGCCGGATAGCCTGTAACTCCTCCCATTAAACCGGGCCCATATGCGCGAATTTGCGTTTCTTTGTAAGGTCCTACATTGACTTCGAAAGGAGATTTGTAGATTTCTTGGCCAGCGAATGTGACCATCACAATATACCTTCCCTCTTTTTGAGGATTGTATACGACTTGATACGTTGTTCCGTCAACCTAATACAATCACAAAAATTACATTGTAGTGCAAATATTGGACGTACTTTGTGTAATTTACAAGGAATTGCTACAGCACCAGGTCCGATAATCTTTACTTCAGGATGCCCTTCGCCGGCACCCTCGGTGTATATTTTAAAATCTGCATCGTCTTTTACTCTAACTCCTTGTGGTTGTAAACCTCTACCGCTTGCTCTGACTTTCTTCGCATCAGATACTAAAAATTATTTATGAAACACACAATCTCTTACTATATGCACACAAAAAATGTAGACTCCAGATTGAGGTTTAGTAAAAGCACGTGCCAAATTCTTGACAGAAGAGCTAACTAGCACAAAGGTTTTGACATCCTTTATGCCAAACACTTACAGACGTGGTAGTGGTGTCGTCATTCGACCAGAAATTAAAAATAATGTCATGTTTGTATTCTCGTTAAGGCATGAAACGTCCATAAGGGCTGTTAAAATCGAAAAAACGAATTTGAAAGTGCACACTTCATCTCTTGCTCACAAGCGGCTTAACAAATTTGTTTGTAATAAAACCTTGCATAATTTTTGTAGATTATAGAGAGAAAAAGAAAGTCTTTCGAATAATTTAGTAACAAATTTCCGTTTCTATTTTAAAAAAAAGTTCGGTCCCGTTGCCACGCTCCAAATGTTTTTTTTTTTTCAAAAATCCGGTCCGTAATTTTCGTTTCCGTATGTCTAATATACATATACAAAATTTAAACAAAATCCGTCCAGCCGTTACTTGCAGAAATTTTATTCTTTGAAAGTTCTTTAAAATGATCTAAAACGTCATCATTTGGTGAAATTTTGACATGTCCGAAAAACGGCGATGGCCATCTCGGGATCGTATTGTACCAGAATTGTTGTATCGATAAATGCATGACAATGTAAAATGGAAAAAATTACTTATTATTTTTTCACGTAGCAAGGAGGCGTAGACTTCCTTCGACTGTATTATGGTACCCTTACACAAATAATGTCTCTTAAACATGGTTGAATCAAAGTAACTAAAATGCAGAGGAAGGGGAGGGGAGATCGTAGAATGGACGAAAGGATGAAAAATAACTTCCGCTGTCAGAATTGTCACTGCCAAGTTCCTTAGCATAGGAAGTGTATGAGTCGTGAGAGTCACCGCGAATTAGCCAAAAAAATTTTTTGTTAGCCGTAGTGTTAGCGTTAAACGGACCATTATTTCATACCGAGCCCATTCAAAGTCTACAGATTTTTGTGCTCACAGTAATTAATGTAGGTACTTACCAGGTGATATACGTACGCCATAAGGACTGTTTGGAATGGATTTTCCAGCAAAAAATATATTAACGGAATGTAAACCAACAGTCGGTGAGACATATTCGCATCTCCAAATGTCGGGAGATGTCTGCCGGACCTTTACGGGAACCGAATTTTTATTTCCTGACGGATCTAATATAATCACCTCGGGTACCCCTCTCCCGGCATCTGCGTTATTCGATGATTAGCACGGATGTGCCGCAGGTCACTAGTTCCAAAAAATTAGGGAGTAGAAGAGACCAGAAAAACAACTTTTTTTTCAATGTAAAATTTTGGCAAAATCGGAAAGGGGATGTGCAAAAAAAATGTGTCTTGGCTCGATTGCTAAACCCGAAACGTATCCGAGTCTCAAATTATTTGGAAAATCTCTCCTCAGTCACCCAATTTTTTGGCTGGTTTGTTAAACCTGGTATAACAACGTCAATTTGATACCTTTTGTAGAAATATCAAAGTATGTTGATCTATTAATGCAAACACCATCGGGTTGTAACCCAGGTCCTGAAGCAGTTACTTTGTTGGGATCTCCCGCGTGCCCCTCAACTGTAACCTGGTACGGACTCTTGGGAACCTCCCTCCCAGAAAACTTCACAGTTACTTTATGGACGCCTTCTTGTTTCGGAGTATACGCTATTGAGTACGTTAAGTTCCTATCGTTGTTGAAACGAACTTCTACCGGTTCCTTCTGGCCAACAGGGTTTTCTACTGACACTTCAACTTCTCCCATGCCTGCAGAAAAGGTTTCTATTGTGAAATTTGCAGGCGCTCCAACAACCGGTCCTATCGGTTCTATTCCTGGCCCGTAAACGCGGACCCTACAACGGTTCATAAAAACGTGTTAAATCGAATTTAAATTATTAAAGAAAAATCGCCAAAAAAGCCACATATTGAAAAAATTTAGAAACAGTTTTCGGATTCAAATATATCCACAGCATAAAAAATTATTTTAAACACAATATAACACAATGTTATTTATTAGTGTACAACAGGTGAACAACCACCAATTAAGTACTATAGTTAATTTCAAGCTTTTTTTTAACTTACCGAGGTGGGGCAATACTGATATAACAAAGAAATACGTTAATACTCTTTTATAGTAATATAAGTATGTAGTATATTTTAACTGTTAAATAAAGGTAATTGTAGTTGGGGTGGGATTCCAGAAATATTACGTAAATGGTCACGTCTGGCAATTATTTAACAGTTAAAATTTTAATTAGGCAGCCAAAGCGTATGACCACATATTGTAGGGCTTTTAAATTTTATACACAGGAAGAGTGATGAAATTATAATTGGCGCTGTGCCTAAATTATTGCTTATATTGTACTCCATTGAGATTTCTTTGTATATGTATATTGCTTAGGTGCACAGTGCACAGTATAATTTTATTTAATTGCTTTAAATTTGGCCACCTTGTCTACGTTTAAAATCAAAGTTTGCCACGATCAAACAGGGCTAATGTACTAGCAATACAATTTGTTGCTCTAAATTTAGGCATTTTGCGTTTAAAAAGTACAATTAGAACTGTTTGAAACTTGGCCAGTAAATCCTACAGTTAGTGCATAATAACAACTTACCTATTGGGATTTGTTTTTGGTCTTAATGGGGCACCCGGTTTTAGTTTGGCATTTGGATATTGAGATAAATAGGTCATCATTGATTGTTCGTCGATATTGGGATTGACCATTTCTTCTGGTTTGATGAGTTGTGGAATATTTAGCCAATCGTCGGCCAAGCCCATAGCTTCTGCAGCGTTTTGTACAGAATCGTTCGTATTCCAATCCTAAAATGTATCCATATACCTTCTCTTATTAAAACTGCAATTGTATATACCGTCCAATCGGGACACAATCCTGGCGCAACGGCATCGACTAAAGCTCCAACAGCTTTACCGCTCGACCAATCTGTAGTGAAATTTGTAATTGGTAAATCGGGTACTTTGTTCTGTATCCAGTTTAGAAGTCTACAAAAGATGGTGAATAGGTACACGGTTTTGCTCTGGAAATTACAACCTTTGTTTTGGAGTAGGTCCTTGCCCATTGCTTACTTCGTCTTCTCCCTCCCACATAGGCAATGAAATTGAATAATGTAAAATTAATGTCCATATTAATCCTAATATAAGTTTTAATTTACAGTCCACTATATGTGATGAATCTGAAAATAAAACATTGACGCTTCACTTATTTGTAAGAAAATCACGTACATTCTCGTCAGAGAAAGGTACACTACAACTACAGTTAATTACAAACGTGTTAAATCGTCCGTCTGATCGTTTCATTTTCTTATACTACAAAGCAAAGGCATTGGAACCAAGTTGTATGAATGCATGTTTAATTGCGTCAGTAATAATTAATCTGCCTTTACATTATCTTGGGTCTCACAAAATGGAATGACGCATCTTACTGACCAAATTGGGCGTCTTAACTGAAGTGGAGCCAATTAGAATAATTTAATTTAGCGCGGCGTCCTTGTGTTTTATGTGGTAGCATTTTTACTAAGATTGCGGTATGAGTAAGTACTGGTTTTCTTTCAAAAGACCGGGATTATGGAACCATTAATAGAAAAGGCGTGTCGTCCCACTTTAATATTTCATATACTATCATTTTTAGCGCATTTCCACAAATTAAAAAAAATGCTTTATTGTGGCCACTTCGTTCGTCTGTCTGTCTCTACGGCTATACCGCTACTAGGTACATCATTATATTAAGAGCTAATTTGGTTCGTTATGGTATCGAAGCTTGCGTTTATTACTAAAAAAGTTATAGTAAAAAATAGATTTTTTCAGGTTCCTACCATAATTTCACACTTTTGCCAATTATAATTTTGTATTGCCGTATGTCTGTCTGTCCATGTCCTAATTCAGTTGTATCAAATTTTTGTGTTTATGTTCCTTGACGTGGCAAAGAATACTTTGTGCATGCGCAGTGCTAACTTTCTTATTTGTGAACGGATTTTTGGGAAATTTTAAAAGAAGGAAGGAATGAATGAAATGCACATCGAAAAATAAATTATACATACACGGACTAAAAACACACGTAAAACAATGAGTACGCATGCTCACACCGTTACATTTTGTGAACCAATCTTTCTGAAATTTTAGGGCAGAATTCTTCTTGTAAAATGAAACTGAACTAGCACGTCAAAAATAAATTCCACGTGTGCAATGCTAACTTTCTTATTTGTAGGCGGATTCTTACGAAATTTTAACAATTGTTACAAATGGGAAATGAATACGCTTTTCGTAAATTGTTTACGATTAGTTTTTTAACTTGTCTAACTTGTCATCTACAACACTTAAAATACATACGCATAAATTGTAACTCAAAGAGAGGCTTTCCTATGCAAGTTTAGGTTTATGTCTTAAAATCCCAAACCAGGTTCTCTAGGACATTGTTTTTCAACCTTTTTGAGCACGCGACCCCTTTGCAAATTGAAAAATTATGGCGACCTCCTACCGCCTTAAATAAATTATGTCAATTACTTCAATTACAGACTACGTATTTAATTTTCATTAGTTTGCGACCTATATCGATCGAAAATGAAGTAGGCACTATACTTAATTTTAACTGTAAAAACAATCGTGAGAATTCTGCGTAATTTTACTTTCTGATTTAAATGATGCGCTTAATTAAGTGATCAAATTTCGAGAGCTTTCATCGTACACTAGTTTCTACTTCCATGGTTCAAATTCGAAAAATCGTACGGGGCTATTGGCATGACACATTTAATGTTTTCTTGCAGTTTTCCCGTTTTTTAGAAAAATGTCATTTTTAGTGTCTCCCAGTGAAATTCGATAATTACAAAACATTTGAAACCCGTCATTTAAACGAAACCACAACATTTCATTACACTAATGTTTCAAAAATTGATTTAATCAATCTCCTACACCTATTTAGCTTAAAGATTAGTGAAAATCCGTTTTTCTGATATGTTTATGAGGAAAAGCTATTGATGAAAAAATAAAAAAAAGAACCTATAACACTTTTATTTCCATAAATATTTTATAAGATCTACGCTATAACCCAATAATTTGGTCTAATTTAAACGAGCTGCCTTGTGTATTTCATTTCATCTTTAATATCTCTCAAACTTTTTTTTGTATAAGTAATTAACATCGCCCAACAACAACCTCATAAGTGACAAATGCTGATGCAGGTCAATGATAGGGAATTTGACTGTTAATCCATCAATAACGAAACAATTCATAATGTATAACAGGCAATACATTTCAATTTTACTTGCCCAAAGAAACATTCTCTTACTTGTAACTTCATATTCTCCTGTAATGGAATGTTTGTTGTTCTGTTGGGCAATAAAGGAAATTTAATTTTATTCTCAGCGAAAATATATACTAGCTAATGATCTGGGCTAATGGGAATCTACTTGCAATAAGAATATGGAATCATAGATTTAGTTTTATTCATTATTAAAATAAAAACATTCTTCGTTTTTGGAAATTCATTTTTCTTGCCGCTTGAAGGATCCAACTAAAAACGTGCCAAGGGCCTATCGAATAAGAGAGTCTATCCAATTAGACGCAAAAAGGAGAATAGGTGTAAATGTTTGAATGTTGTTAGTTCTTATGTGTGAATTTTTTTAATAACAATAATGAGACTGACCTCTACTGATATGAAACAAAAACAGTTTTAAAATATAAGTATCCTTATTGACAATGTAAATATATGCTTACTGTAAGACTAATTGAAGAATTGCAAGCATGACTACTAATGAGGAAGTTCCGCGAATATCACTTAGTTATCAAAATATAGTAATACTCAGCTTATTCGTCCATGAAAACGTCAATTTTCAGCATCCTTGACACGGTCCCAAAGGAATTCGCGTTGTACAGTAAAATATCGCATAAGCATATCTAAAAAGAAACTTATCTAAACTATCGTATGTACGTTTTTAATAGTTTATGGACAAATTAACCGCAGCCTCCGTTCCGGTTTTTTATTCTACTTCCTTTTGAAAAATACAAAAAGTTAAACTCAAAATTATGGCTTAGTTTTGAGTTTGGGCCAACCATGCGGTCATTGCCATATTTCGAAGATTAGTGCATCGTACATAAAATCAAAGGAATGTCTACGTCAGCCTAAAATTTTTCAAATTCCATCTGCCGGTGCAATATTTCTAATGAATCATAGGTGGAAAGTAGGCATGAAGAAGTTTATTTTTCCAGCATTTACATCACAAAAATGCTGTAAAACAAATTACGTTGTAGTATTTCCTTTGTACAATGACCCGTTTCTCCAAAACGAGAAATGCAAATAGTTACATTACAAACCCATGTAGAACCTGATCCATCGTTACATGTGAATAAAGAAAGAAATACGTCCGTAGATCTCGTCGCCTGTTATTTCTTCAGTATAATTTTTTAATTCTTTTTAAAATTGTAAAAGTAAATCGTGCCTGCGAACCGCGCACGTACCAAACTTGTTTTTGTGGATGGAATTTTCGGTGTGCAGACTTCCATGTGTCAATTACAAAAAGGTGCCAAAGTATCGAAAACTGGTACCTACCTAATAGAAAGAGGACATGCTAATTTACATTTTCTTAAAAGAGCGTCGTTCATTTTTTCATTTCTAGATTAGTTAGGGTTAGAATAAAATACACAATATTGCTGTTGAGAGCCTTTTTTGCTCAGTTTCCCTTGAATGTAGTTTCAAAATAAGTTTGTCTAAATAAAAGGGGAGGTAAGTGCATGAACACTAACTATGTGATGATCAAACGGCGAGAAAGTTTACAATACGCAGAGATCAGGAAAGCCGATGACAAAATGTCAATTGTTCAAACCATATCCATTTGTGTTGAGTGTTTCCCAAAATTGACCGCTTTTCGCAATGACGTCTCTTGAAGACCAAGAGAGAAATAGCGTCGCCCAAAATCAATCTGTTTTATTGGAGGATGTTCAAAAATAAAGTCCTTTGATGAGGCACATGACGTGTAAACTTCATTATAAATTTGACCACATACACCTCCACTCCTCCACATGCCCTATTATTATTAAATAGAGATTCGGCATAGGTTTGCAGACAATATATATGCATCGGGAATTGATTATTAGAGAGGGTTGCCATTTGTCGGGGTTTGTCCTAGTTGAGGGGGCGTCCATTTTAAAACTGTAGGATTTTAACATTTTAATTAATTCAAAAATTAATGAAAAGTGTGTTAAAAGCACAGAAGATTCCACGATTCCAACAGTTTACCTAAAGGACTCATTTCAGTTTTAAAATTCGCAGGGGTACTGAATATTACGTTTGTTATTCTTTTACCATTACTGCCTTTAAGAGTAACATAAAATTTAAATTTTAGAATCGTGAAGTTTTAAAGCTTAAGATGCAAATTTTGAAAATCCTACTTCCACTGGGCATTTTTTAAATACCCAACCTAATTATTTTTTTTTATTTCATTTGGTTTTCAGTATTAGCAAAAGTATTCTTAGACACTTAGTACAATTGTAAAATTAATTTAGACATTGATACATTATCGAAACCAGTCATATAATAAATGCGTTAAGTTGCTCAGGGCGTTAGTCCCTTGTTCAGAAAATTACCGAAAATGCTGGAAAATATGTATGACATTTGAGGAAAATATGAGTAACTTTTCGGGGAATAAGAAGAAATGAGATTATGAGTAGAATTACAAATGAAGGGAAATTCCAAGTTAATTCGAAGAAAAAAATAATAATGGAGACTTTAATATGTTTTCATTTGAGTGTGTTTAATTACATTTATTTATCTGATTTTTATTGTCCTGTTAATTTAGCAACCTTCTCTTGGCGTTTCATCAGTAGCGTTTCACAAATTAAGAGTTCGTGCCTTTTTTGTCTTGCCTTGCATTAACAATTTCGGAAAAATAGATGTCTGGGAAATTAAAAATTCTTGTGTTCTCTTCCTTTTTCACGTTCTTGCCATCTTCATTTGCTGCAAGACCAAGTTGCTAAGAACGAGAAGCAAGAATAGAAAGTTTGTGAAACGATACCACCTGGGACCCTAGGTACAGTGGGGAAGCAGGCGAATGCTGGTTTTCTTCTTGTCGAAACCCTAAGAGGACTGTATTCAAAATTGTTTTTTTAATTTCGTGGTCGTTATAACTTCTAGTGGCAACATGAAGTTTTAACGCCTAAACTTCTACTTAATTTCGTGTTTTAGGTCAAATGGTAAAATTTTGAGTCGAAGTTTTGCGATCATATTTTGAATTTACAGTTTTAGGATTAAAATTAATGTCGCAATTTAAAAGTATGTGGGCTCCGTAATTTTTTACATCTAAAATCTTCTGTCTTCTAAAAGTGATGAGAACTTTTTTGTCGTCTGGCTGAATAATTGAAATTTATTCACTTAACTAAGTCAATTGTTTAGGTTACTCCAGACCAGAAATAATGGGTTCATCATCATCGTGATATCAAGGACAATTTAGGGCATAATTTTCCGCCGGCTTTTTAAATTCCAAAAGGTGAAACTTGTTTAGGTATTATCTTATCGCTTAGTACACAAATACTTTACGTACACTTGCGATAAGTACCCTACTAAAAGGACGTGATTCATTTTTCGTGAGGGAACAATAAATTTAAGACTTGCTCATACGTAAAATATTTGGTTTGACGAAGATTAAGGCGTGGACTTTTTTCAAAATACTTGTATGTAGTAAGAAAACTCATCTAGTTTTTTCTAGGACATGTTTATTAATATCCCCATTATCTACATCCTCACAACTACAACGTATTTTCAAAATTGTTGGATGTGAGTAACAGTTAGCAACTGGACACGTACTTTGTCATAAATTAATAGAATCATTTGCTACATTTACTTTTATTAAGTGTAGTTTTCTTTTACTTTCCCAACAGTGCTGCTACTTTTTAAATACCTACGCAATGCTGAGGTTCTACAGGATTATATGAGTTTCTCTTGCCTCTGCAATGTGCCAAAACGAATTATTCCCATCAAATTCACCAGATAAAGTATAGCAGCAAAGCCAGTTTACCAAAATGCACATATTCACTTATTGTATTTATTATATTATTAAATAATACATTTGAAGTATTGATGAAAAATTTTGGCAACAAAACTTCTGTACAAAAATAACTTGCTTCTGTCTGTGACTATACTTTTTATCCCTTCATCGGCCCATGCATTCCAAAGCACGTTTTGCTGAAGAGTGGTATTGATTCAAAACTTTGGTACCAGAACGCTTATGTAATAGCCCCCCCCATCCCTTCTTTTGTGTATGACTACCAAATGTGTGCCTTGTTACTTCCAACTTTCGTATTAAATTCTAGTCTATAATAGTAATAGGCAGTACAAGTATTATTTAGAAAAAAAGACTCGCATGAAAGCCCAGGGGGTGAGACTATAAAAACAATTTACTATGAAGTGAAATCGAATCCTGTGACAATTCCGTAAAAGTTGCTTGGGCATTAATCAATAACCTCAAACCCAAAACTAAAAAAAATAATTATCCTCTAATATCCGACAGTAAAGTGACCAAATCAGATTCAGTCGTGGTAGCAAATATGTTTAATACATTTTTTTTTAAATGTCCCGCTTCAGGTCGTTGCTCACACTCCAGTTAATAGACGTTATCTAAAACATGCCAGCTCTAGCAATAAGCCATTAACTATACCCTTTTAACGGTCAAGAATTACTCAGTTTTTTAAAACATAAAATTTGACGATTTGACGAAATCAGGGGCGGACTGGCACGGGGGGGGCGGGGGGCGATTGCCACCTAGCCTGTAGATCATAATGGCCCGTTGGAAATTTATAAGTATGTGCTGTATTTAGTTTCTTGCACTATTAGTAAATTATTAACACGTTTCTCTAATTGGGGTTGATGTTAGGTTGTTAAAAAATTCTGTGTTAATTGAAGTGTTTTACAATGAATTTATCATTTTTTGTCGTAGTATTTTGAAAGTGCACATACAATGATAGGCGACGCACCTCGTGTGGATTGTATTTTGTTACTTTTAATTATCAGCTGCAATTTTAAAAAAACTGTATGGTAATTGATTTTCGAGAAAGGAGTAACTTTGTTGTAACTTTTGAACTAGTAGCCCAATCTTGGAACTGTTTGAAATTATGGATTCGACAGGCCACATTCTATAAGAAAATTTTTTTCCGGGTCGATCTGAGACAATTTTTTTTGGGGGCTCAAAAAAAGGCAGTGTATAACCTTCCTTTTTTACCAAAAATCGACTACACCAAAATTTCTCGGGAAAACACTTTTTCTTATTAAATTGGGTGCGTAGAATCCAAATCAATTCGTACTTTTTCGATCAGACTTCTCAATCAAAAGTTATAGACTAGAAACCAATTTCGAAAAAAAATTCAAAGGGCTGTAACCTTTGAACTAGTAGCCCAATCTTGGAACTGTTTGAAATTATGGATTCTACACGCCGCGCCACCTTCATTACTACACTAATACTTTAATGGCCCGTAACCTATGCAATTCCACCTGGCCCGCAGTTACCCAGTCCGCCCCTGGACGAAATACCAGTATTTCTGTTTAAAAAATTCTACCGTGTATAGTGTCTTCCTTAACATACAAAATTGACAGTTTCTTGTTACTTTGACACACTTGGGTATGCGCGATTCTGACCCTTGTTTTAATGGAAATGCGAGTACAAACACACAAACCGATCGACATCATCGAAATTTGGTTTAATTCGGATTCCTGGTGCTTCAAAACGTGTATTCAATGCAATACCTCCCCTTACTAGCGTGCGGGTGGTAAAACTTGACTATCATTTGTTACTGTTATTTCCAATTTTCATACTAAATTCTACACAGTATATAATAGTAACATGCAGTACAATTATTATTTAGAAATACTACTAAGAGGGTGAGTTGTACTCAGCATGATATGAAAATAAGTTTATTGCGCATTGAAATAAATAAAATGTCTCGATCAAACGGGGTTTAATCTTAAGCGGAAAGTAGTACAATTATTATGTAAAAATAAACCCCTACAGTGGATCTAAAAAAGCCTCAGAGCACCTGGGTTTGACCCTACGGGGTCATTGAACTTGACCCATTTTCAAAAGGCTTGTTACATGTGGCATGTAGGTCAGCTGTGCAAAGTTTAAACCGAATCGGTCCACGCGTTTGGCAATTATCGTGTTCACGGACAGACGGACACCATCGACTCCCCTATAAAGTTTGCATCGCTTTGCTCTGCCATTTAATAAAAGGCACGCACTCAAGTCTAAGGGGTGAGATCTAGAGCACAGAGAAGAGTTATATTGAATTGTTACACATCTAAGAGTCATAGGGAATAATCTAGCGAAAGTCCAAACTCGATACATGACCTAGGTACTGAAATATGTAGATTTCTATCATATTGACCCGCAGTGTTTCCTGTTCCCGATTCACTTGAAGTCCTACTTTTGTTCCTATTGAACCAGCTTCCCGAAAATCAATAGGGGCGTCCGTCGTTAATGTCCAAAGTACCCGTACACCAAATTGCAATACAAACAACTAATGCAAGGATCTAAGGGGGTAAGATTTTCCTCGCAGCACACCGAAAGTAAACATTTTTTTTAAAGTTGTCGATTTAGATCGCCTATGGGATAGATGTAATGTAATCCCCTTAGGCGATGTCGCACCTTCGTTTAGTTTCTGAATAATGATGGTACTACCCTATTTTGAAACCAGGACTAATTGCGTGGTTTTTTAATCGATTTTACCCGTAATTCAACTATTTGGTATATTTTCGTAAACTGACCCCCTAAAGTTTTGACTCAAATTTCTAAATAGACAACGTTTATCATTAATTTTGTCTTGATAACGAAATGTAGGAATATATAAACCACAGGGATATGGTGGTACTTTTCTTAGCAAATCCTGAGGAACCCCACATCCTGGCAAGTCATTTTTTAAAATAGCTACAATTATGTCACCACTTATTGAATTGGTTGTTTAAGTGACTGTTTTTAAATCCATTTAATGCCTATTTCCATAACACGTTTCATAGAAAATTGTTGAATCATTAATTTGATATTCTGCAAATGTTTAATCAATGAAAAACTATAGATTCAATTAGATTTTTCAAAAAAATATAACGGAATTCCAAAATTTTTTGCAAGTAGCGAAATCGGTATCATTTATGTTTACGAAATTAATCTAAAGCGGAAATTTTATTTTACAGGTTTATCCACTTCCTGGAGATAAACGGTTGGGACTGAATGAAAAAAGCGTATGCGAATAACGGCTGTAAAACAGGAATGTTGCTGCAAACTGTGCCATTATTGCAAGGTAGGTACTATATACGATTTATGACTAAGGTGAGCATGACATAATTGGTTAAAATTTACAATCTGACATCATTCACCGATGCCAGGCTAACTTTTAACAGGTGTCCTTGCAAAATACAATTTTAATTTGTTGAACGAGATTTCAACCGAAACGTCGGGAATTTGTTCATAATTTTTTTGGGTATTTAGCGCAAATATTTTATCGCTTCGTGGGAGATAAAATAATCAACTTCACGACCTAGTTATAAAGAGTAATTATTGGCTGGTTATGATTTACCACTGGGTACCGACACGAACGTATCTTGAGAACAATCATCGATTGAATTGGCTATAATTCGTCATAAAATTAACACGGCGTGAGTTTAGTTATATGTGATTTCATTGCACAACTGATTTAATGCAAATGAAGTAAAAAAGAGCTGAATTTTAATTAGATATTACTGAAATACTTTGAACTGAAAATGAAAGTAATTAACCATTGTACAGTTTAAATAGTGTAAAATAGGGATGGTGGTGGTATGCACCTTTAAAATTCTGAAAAAAAATATCGAGTGGGTTTATCATTCAAAACAACTACAGCATGGATACCTTATCAAACCTACACTTTTGTAATTAGTTTATATAGTTATCAAATTAAAATACTTGATAAGCTACTTTCGGACTTTTGTGATTAAGAAGGAAACTTTCATAAATGATTTCACCCTTTCGCAAGGGGTGAGTGGTGTGACGCGCGCTCGGATTCAAAAATTAAGCGGCATTAAGTAGGACCTGCGCGTTTCAGAAATCCTCACGTAAAACAGGTTAAACTTCAAGGTGCAAAAGGCCTTGAACTTGGAATTAATTTTGAATACTATAAAGTTATTTAGTGACTTAAGAGAGCACTTACCTATATTTACAATTCTAATGTTCTCGTCTTCTTGGAGAAACTTGAGTGCCACTGATACGTTTTCCAATTTTTGCGAACGAAAAGTCGGCCTTTTCGTATGTTTTGGTAGTTTACGTCCTGAGAGTACTTCAATTAGTGTAATTAAACGTAATCCGTCACTTAGATCTGTTTCCAAATTTCCTATGTGCTTTTGTACCGTTTTTAAATGTTCGTTTGCCCACCTCGTGAAGGTATTTTGTTGGATTTTTTTCCATTGCGCGTCTTCGGCTAAATCGCGCTCCGCGGCAACCATCTCGTCCTCGTCATCAACTTCGTTATACTCGTCTAGGTCGCGGGGCGATGCCAGCGAGCCCAACCCGCCTTTATATCCCTGCTCCGCTGTAGTAGTCATCTTGCTTCTACTGACCAATTTAATTCACCTCTGACCTACTGGAAGAATTTCTATAATTATTTTTTGTATCAAATTTAAATTTGGAAGCATTTAATGCGACTAGGGCCCGTAATTTCGAAAATTCTAGAGTTCCGGTGCACTTTGCATTTTATAGAAATGATGTCATTGGGGAGAGTCATAGTTCATAATTACTCGTAATCTCGTGAACATAAAGCGCTAATTACAATCGCGGGTAGGAATGTACTTCCTATTTTTTTTATTTGTGCATATATAATCAAAAGTAATTACATTTTTATATGTTCATTTACCACTCGGCACGAGCTATGCAACTCAATATGCTTAGCGGTGTATTAGGTTTCAAATTAAAGCATTAATGTATCACTATATACAAAACGTGTACCTGATAAAGTGTTGCACTGAACAATAGAAAAAGAAACCATTTCCTTGGCTTAAAGTAACAAAAAAAAACAATTACTTAACCCAGGCAAATTCCAAGATTTTCAACATGTAATATTTGCCCGATGCGACTTTGAATTGAATTGAAGAAACTGGACTAAATCATTTTTTGTAATTTTTAAAAATCGCGGATTAAAAAGCAAGACGATTTAAGAATTTTCAAAACCTTTTTATCCATCTTGGTAGCACAAACTGAAAACGCATTACACCTACTTGAAAATTACACAATTAAACAACAATATGGAAAATGTTACTAACAGAGAGAAAATGTCGCCGTGAACCACTAAAATACAATACTAATTATACACTCGCTTTATCAAATGAGGCAAAGTAATCAGCAGGAATTTGTGTTTAGGTACTGATATAGCGGCGAGCTAGGAATTACGAATATATAAGGTGAACAAAACAACTGGGTAAATGTTACAATGCCACTGTTTCATTGCTTTTGAGCTTATCCAATATGCCCATGGCATGTCTCCCATCAAGATTCCCGGCAATCTCCCCTATTGTAGTCCAGTAAGGCATCTCATTGTAACTGTTTTTAATAAACTGTCTTACAGAATGCACTGAATTGAAGTCTCAATTTTGACTCGAAAAGGAATTTGCTTTTTCGTGTGTTTTAGCGTATTTTAAAAAATAAAACAAATGTGCCACGGGGGCTGCTTTACCCACCCGAAGCTTGAACCAAAGGAATTTTTTCACGTATGTAATAATTTGACTCCTGCTTCTAACGCATGCACCCTTGAATCTTGAATACTGTTCTTGGACCAAAAAGGACAAACAATTGTACTTAAATATGCATTCACTTTTTCTTGAGGTTAAAATTTTGATGGAATTTTCAAAATTACAAGTTGTGACTCTCTAAAGCATACACAAAAATGAAAAAATTCCAAACTTTCAAGCAAGGCCCCATCTGATTTGACAACCTATAAATCCCCCGCATTTCCACAAAATATTCCGCAACCCTTTAAAATCCCCGTAATTGTAACTAATTTCTCGTAATAAGTTAAATCTCGCGCAATCCCTTATTTTCGGAATCTTACCACAATTAGCAAAGGCTGAAACGACTATATAGGTACAACCAGTAATTATTTCTCGTCACTTTTTGTTTTCGTAAATCCCACCGTTTCACATTCGCATTTGCTTGAATGGATTTTTGGAACCTACATTCTCTTCGATAAGAAAACCATAAGCTCGGTTATACATCCCCCAATACGCAATGAAAAAAATTATTGCCCAACGAAATTTGATTTGGTGTCTCTGATGAACGTTGAAAAGGAGGAGTAATAAATCACAAAAATCTACCACCTGGAAATTGTTACATACTGTTTCCAGTACTTGCACAAGAGTGAAAAGTACCTGTATCTAAATGACAAGGAGTTGTAACGTATCGCGCAATTTTCTCCAGAAAAATCCCATTCTCTTTTAGGCGAGGAAAACGAAAAGGGTATACGAATGTTATCTTTGACACTCGTAATTGTCTATTATGTGTAATTCTAATAGCAATAAAACTATTCCAGTATTATTTCCAATGGTTATAGTGTTGATTCCAGCATTAATTTTATAGATTTATTTAAAGCAAAAGTCCATATACTTTAAAGGCATAGTTGATAAATTAGGGGTTGAAGTGGATTAAGCTTTATGTTCGTTGGGATTGTGGTTGGTTTTTGTCTAAACTTTGTATTTCAATATCAATAGATGTTATTAGAAAGCGTGCAAAGCTAACGTTGGTAAGTAAATTAGGGATTGGGGGGATTACCTACTTTTTATGATCGTTTTCGAGGATTAAGGAATGCATTATAAGGGATTGTGTTTTCGTCTAAATTTTGTCTTTCATTATCAATTCATTAGAATAATATATAAGTACTTTAGAAACAAAATTGGTAAATTAAGGGTTGAAGAAGATTGTTGGAGGGTTAAGATGGGGTAGATTAAGATGTTTTTGTCTCTCATTATCAAAAATGGATCTTTATTAGAAACCGCACAAACCAAAAGTTGATTTACTTTACGCAAAGTTGGTAAATTAGGGGTTGAGGTTACGTTTTACGGTCGTGGTCGAGGGTTAAGGTAGAGTAAATTAAGGTAAATTGTGTTTGGTTTTGGTCTCTCAATATTAAAAGTCAATTTTTATTAGACCGCGTAAAGCAAAGGTTGATCTTCTTTAAAGGCAATGTTGGTAGATTAGGGGTTGGAGTCAATTAATTACGTTTTATGATCGTTGTCGCGGGAGGTTAAGGTAGGGTATATATAGGGATTGTGTTGGGTTTTTGTCCAAGTGTTGTCTCCGAATATCAACAGTGAATTTTTATTAGACACAGCATAAAGCAAAGAGTGATCTTCTTTAAAGACAAAGTTGGTAAATTAGGGGTTGAAGTGGATTACGATTTATGTTAGTTGTCGAAGCTGGCAGCCAATGCCAGCCCGTAGAAGAAGGAAAGACGAGGAGTGTTAGGAGTGTATATGTACCTACCGGGGCCGTGTCATTAACAACTTTAGGAACAAGGCTACATGATGGGGTTGACAACATCTGGACACAATCCCCGAACGAGCTATATCAACGTGGTGATTTTTAGCGCTTTGTCGAAAAGGAAAATGAACGCTATTGTCCGCACTTTGTCCGTCTGTACCACCACTAGTCCTCCAGTTTAAACTGTTTCGTTGTGGTTTCTTTCTTATACGGTGTAGCACAACCCCGAGACCAGAACGACAAAGGATTTTTTAGATTAGTCCCTTCCTACCCGAGTTATTACTGATTCTGTGCGGGGAAAATGTTCTGTTTTTCCTATCTTCCTCTTCACTTTCGTTTATTCCCCAGGGGGCAAAATGAACCACCTTTTGTAAGGTAGTCGACTTTCGGCGCCCAAAACTTTCCTAGAGCTCCAATCGCGGTCTCTCCTTCTCGTGTCGCCATTAGAAGTTCGAGCTGTGAGAAGTGCCCCAAAAATTGAGTACTATTTTGTGAAGGATTTTTAGCGAATCTATCAAAATGCGAATTTCGTGTGAACGGGACGTCAGAACATGGATTTTTATTAGAAACCGCACAAAACAAAAGTTGATCTATTTTAAAGGCAAAGTTGCTAAGTTAGGGGTTGGAGTTAATGACGTTTTATGATCGTTGTCGAATGTTACGGGCTAGACTAGGGATTGGATCTGATTTTTGTCTAAAATTTGTCTCTTACCTTCATTAGAAACCGCGCGAAGTAAATTCGTAAATTAGGGGGTGGTGTGGATTACGTTTTGTGATCGTTTTCGAGGGTTAACGAAGGATAGATTAAGGGATTGTACTTGATTACAAAGTAGGTAAATTAGGGGTTGGGGTGGATTACGTTTTATGATCGTTACATTATGGGGATTGTGGTTCATTTTTGTCTAAGCTTTGTCTCCCAATATAAAAAGATGTTTGTTAGACACAGCGTAAAGCAAAGGGAAATCTTTTTTAAAGGCAAAGTTGGTAAATTAGGGGTTGAGGTGGATTACGATTTATCTTCGTTATCTGGGTTTAAGGTAAGGAATAAGTATAGATGAGGGGATTGTGGTTGGTTTTTGTCTAAACTTTGTCTTTCATGATCAAAAATAGATTTGATTAGAAGCGTGCAAAACAAAAACTTTGGTAAATTACGGGTTGAGGGATTACGTTTTATGATTGTTCTCAAGGGTTAAGGAAAGAAACAATAAGGGGTTGTCTTGGTTTTTGTCCAAGTTTTGTCAAAAATAGTAGAGTATACTTTAGAAACAAAGTAGGTAAATTAAGGGTTGGAGAAAATTGCGCTTTATGATATTTGCCGAAAGGTTAAGGTGGAGTTTTATTGAATAATATTTTTGGTTTTTGTTTCTCATTATCAAAAATGGATTTTAATTATAGAAACCGCGCAAACCAAAAGTTGATTGAGGTCATTTACGTTTTATGATCGTGATCGAGGGATAAGGTAGGGTAGATTAAGGGATTGTGATTGGTTTTTGTCTGTTCTGTCTCTCAATATGAAAAAAAAAGATTTTATTCGAAACCGTACAAAGCAAGTGTTGATATACGTTAAAGGCAAAGTTAGGGGTTGGGACGTTTTATGATTTTTCACGAAAATCAAAGTAGGGTAAATTAAGGGGTGTATTTAGTATCTTTCAAAATTTGTTTCTCAATATTAATATTGGATTTTTTATTTGAAACCGTACAAAGTAACAATCTATCTATTTTAACCGCAAAGTTGGTAAATTAGGGATTGAGGATTACGTTTTATTATCATTGTTGAGGGTTTAGGAAAAGTACATTAAGGGATTGTGTTAGTTTTTGCCTAAATTTTGTCTTTCAATATCAAAAATAGATTTCATTAAAATATATACTTTAGAGGCAAAGTTGGTAAGGGTTGAAAAAGATTACGTTTTATGATATTTTTCGAAGGTTACGGTGGGGTAGATTAAGGGCATGCGTTTGGTTTTGTATAAATTTTGTCTCTCATTATCAAAAGTATCAAAGTTGGTTAAAAAGGCGCTAATACTGACGTTTTATGATCGTTGTCGAAGGTTAAGGTAGTTGTTGTATCTGATTTTTGTCTAAAATTGGTCTCTTACCTTAATTAGAAACCGCGCGAAGGAAATTCGTAAATTAGAGATTGGTGTGGATTACGTTTTATGATCGTTTTTGAGGGTTAAAGGGGTCTACCGCATTTTGGTCTATAATTTTATCAGAATCCGTGCAAAGCAAAAACTGATATACCTTAAATGCAAAGTAGGTAAATTAGGGGTTGGAGTGGATTACGTTTTATGATCGTTGTCGAGTGCTAGGGTTGTGTTTGGTTTTTGTCTAAAATTTTGGCTCTCAATATCAAAAATGGATTTTATTAGAACTCGCGTAAAGCAGAAGTCGATTGAAATTTAAAGCTCCCCAAATCTTTCTAACATCGTTTAAAATTTCCTTTCAGAACCTTTGCATAAAATATTGTTTTGTGTAGTTTTCGACGTCAACGAAATTATGCATAACAAATTTTGAAGGTTAGCTTCCGATTAACAACCATAATATATGTAATGTGACTCGTGTGGAAAACGGTCTAAAAATCTGCCCTTGTTTGCATACTACCTAAACGGTTTTGGTTTTTTTTCGGTGTTTTTAATAGGAAAAATAGAACTTTTTCAAATGCCATCCTATACAATATACATAATATTCATCAGAAACTGCGTTTTGAATAAGCAAATGATACATGAACGAGTACATAAATATCTATTTTCAGAAGGTAGGGCACAATACTCGATAAAATATTACGGGATCCAAAAAATTCTTGAGTAAGGAGAGAGGGTGGTACTACTTATTGTGTATTTCGAAGGATGTGTCGAGACAGTATTAGGTACACGTACACTTGAATATTCTTATGAAATATTTTTAATGTAGGTACATAATCTGTCAAAGGTCTCCTTAGATATCAAAACTTTAAAGAAAAAAAATGGCATCTACAAGCAGAGGGCGGCAAATTAAATGCGACAATACATAATGGATAATTATTAATTCACTAATGGTACTACCTTCTCTTGTTCCTCCGACTTCGACAAACACTTGAACACAATGGATACTAAATATTTGTGTGTATGTGTCATCTATTTTGTAGGCCGGAATATGTTTATTATTAATAATTATTTAAAGTTATGATAACAATAATATATAAAATGCATGCTAACAGCATTTGGTATCAGACACAAAGCAACGATGCCGGTAATTGTCTGCTTCTTTGCGATGTTTCAGGATTTGCATTCTTGAAGTTGTGTGGTCATTTAGACAACAATTTATTGGAATGCGGAGACTGTGCATTTACCTATAAGTTTAGATAGGCATTTAAAAACGGGAGGCTTCTTTCACATAACTTATTCTAATCGTTTTCCATGCTTAAATGCATTCCAATTATAGATGGGTTCAAGTTTAAAAATAACAATCGTATCAAGGTTAAACGATACGATGCAAGTTCAATACTCCATTTAAAAAACAAAAGAGAGAAATTGAACCATAATCGAACCGACGATTCGCATATTTCCGAAACACGTAATTGTGTGTCTAGCGGAATTGTCAAGTATAGGCATGGCCAATGGGGTGAGTAATACAAATTTGTCATCAAAGATCGAAAAAAATTCTAAAATATTGAATAGTTCCAGATAAAAACGTGAATGTGGGTTTTTGACTAAAAATAAACCGAGAATTTTAATAAATTTAATTAGGCCGATGTTATGATGATGAGTTTCAAGGTAGGGATATAGTTTTATTAATATTTTGAACTCAGGTGAGGCGCGCCAGAAATATTTTTTTGTTTTAATGTGTTAAAGGCCCGGAAACAACCTGAACAAAGTGAAATAGGTTTATTTTCTAAAAATTCCGGCCGGAAAGTCAAAAATTCGAAGTACAAAAGGTAAAGACTTACCAATCTTATCACATAAGCCACACAGTTGTGATGATATTCAATGAATGCATTGCACTATTGAAATTGTTTTTCAATAAAAATGATGAGCAGATACAGCATCCAACTTAAAACACACACGTCTCGCAAGTCACCAAGTTAAAGATATGTACGATACCTAATAATAGCGCTCTCCTGTTCGCGGCTTGGGATGTACATATAGCTTTCCGTCATGTTTGAACCCCACTTTTTCAAACGATCCTACCACAATTTGTCACATGTTTCATATTTTCGAAAATATCCAGGTATTTTCAAATTTTCTGTAACTGTTCTGTTGGTCAACTTTTGGTTCGTCGCCCCGTAAGCACCACAAAAATTGAAGCAGGTTACCATTTAGGATAACATTTTTGTTTACGTAAATAACATACACGCACACATTCACCTATTGAATTAGAAACTCCAATTTTCCACAAACTTGCCCAATTCGAATTCAAAACTGCAATTATCTCGTTTGATGAAAGGTGAGGATTGTTTACTCTAATGACAATGATTAAGACCATAGAAACTTAATTTAGCAATTAATATTTTATATGGCAAATATAAAAAATACTGTTTGAGTATTCCAGACACTCATACGCTTCATAATTGTCTTATGTTTGAATCTTTTTTACAAATTATTTAAGGGGCAACTTTCTAAAATCCTATAATTTCACATACTGTGGAAAATAAAATTCTTTCACTGTAATTTTATGTTGATTTAATGTTAATTTGCGCTATTATTTTGGATTTAGCGCTATCCATCTGGATATTTTTTGGACTGTTATAGTAAGAACAATTTAGCATTTATTGTGGTGCCATCAAATCAACAATCTCATAAATGTATCTTGCTTAAAGTTCATGCCACTATCAGAAGAACTGCAAAGGGCTATATTTCATTCCAAAAAATTAAACGCAAAAGAGGCCTTTGTAGATCTTTTTACAAAAAAATTATAATACGTAACTTATATTTTTGAGACGTTCTTTTGAATACAAAATATTGTAAATTATATCAGTTTCCTATTATAGTTTCTGTACTACTAAATCTCAGGTATCGATTGCAAGGGAAATCATATAACATGAGTTGAAGAAATGGCTAGATAAAGCTTGAGAATACTTTTTTTAAATGTATTATCCCTCTCTTGTGTATTTTCAGCTTGTGACAAACTATCTCTTATACAGTCCTCGAGATATTCCAATCCGATAGGTGTTTCTTGAAATCGTGTGGTTGTCCGTCTGTTCACACAATATCCCTCGAACGGAACGTGTTATAGCCGTAAATGTTTCTATATAGCTTCCTCTTGGTCCAAGTAAGGATCCTTTGAATTTGGGGGTGAAAAATGCCAAAGTTTCAGGAGTCAACGTAAAAGTTGATATAAATTATGAATTTTCATTTAGTAGTATTACACTTTTATTCGTTTTTTAGCGCATTTCCATAAAAATAAAAAAAATGCGCTATTGTGGCCCGTCCGTCCGAATTCCGATCGCTACTAGATCATTTCCTTAAAAGCTATTGTCCTACTTTGTTGCTGTTTGGTTTGTTATGGTGTCAAGGCTTGCACCAAGGCAGGAATTTGTTCTGCGTTTATTACTAAAAAAGTAAATTTAGTGATGCCGCCGAGACGAGACTCAGTCTCGTCTCGTCTCGTCTCGTCTCGAATTTTCGAGACGAGACCGAGGTTCAGTCTCGTCTCGTCTCGTCTCGACGAGACGAGACTAAGCATGAGTCTCGTCGAGAGTCTCGCCGAGACTCTCGTTTGGTCTCGAATTTGTTTGTATTTATTTGTACTGTTTTAGCGGAATAGTCTAAATCGAGAACAAAAAAAGATAAACTTTTGCGAATCGATTTCTACGAGTTCAAGGATCACTGCGGATTAGAAGTCGTGTTTCCGATTACGAGCTGTCAAAAAATTCCCTGAAAATCGTATGCGATTCTTCGTACATATCTTGTTTAATTGTGCCCACGGACACGGAGGCCATCTTGAGGCCTCCAGTTGTTGTGTTATGAGTATAGCAATTCACAAAAAAACAGTTCAATTAATCCGCTTCTGCCGCTATTTCCGGCTGGACAAAACTCGGTAGAAAAGAATTTTTCCTTAAAACCCATCGCCCTCAACCTACGGTTATCAATTTCAGGTGGTTTGGTTTTTGGTTTAATTTGCGGAAAAAAATTCACCGGAAGTGCCTATTTTTAATAACATTCCGGCCAGAAAAAGGCTGGCAGAAAACTCATTTTGTGTTATTCAAGTTGCAAGGAATCCAGTACCTAACAAAGATTTCATCTTGTTAGCTTATCACTACTGGTTCCATGCGTCCGGCTCTCGTACCTACTATATTACTCCTATTATTTACTTGTCATGCCTTCGTAGTTCGTGGTCTTTGATATGCTATATGCTCATTGCTCTACCTACATACACTATATTTGGATAGTGTCTCGAGACCAGGCGAGACCAAACGAGACTAGACGAGACGAGACGAGACGAGACGAGACGAGACGAGACGAGACGAGACTGAACCAGGACGAGACGAGACTCAGACTTGGTCTCGTCTCGAGGTAACGAGACGAGACGAGACTTTCGAAAGTCTCGTCTCGTCTCGTCTCGTCTCGCGGCAACACTAAGTAAATTAGTAAAAAATCCATTTTTTTTATTTACCGTAATGATGATGGTTCAAGGAGACGAAGCGTCAGACTTAAAATTAACACTAGCATCTTGTAGAGGGAAAAAGTGGCCATAATAATGTGTCATTTATTTTGAAATATCTTTTTAAATATCTTCGGTAAAAAATAAAAACGATTTTACAAAATTTCGTTTTTGTTTCAGGATATTTCCGAAAGTAGTCAAATTTAAACTAAACCTACCTATTTCTTACAATTTACGAGATCCCCGTGGTGGCCCTCGAATTTGAATCATCCTGTATAGTCCCCACTTTATACGCTCATTTCAAAGCAATAACCTTTCGTCTACAATTATAGTACAATAGAGTACAATAAACAACAATTAATCGATGCGCCTGTAAATTTCTGATAATAGCCTAGTCTATTTTATACTTTCAAGTGTTAAATGAACCCAGGTAGAATTTCATTGATAACTTTTTATCGCGTAGCTCGCGTAAAAGAATATAAAAGATATGTAACTTATTTTAATTAATTAGTTCGTTTTTTGGGTATTACAATTAGCGGTTTGTTTATAATTTTGAGTAAATAACGCATTAAAATATATTGAAAATAAGCATCTTACGGGTAATTCTGCTTTTGAATTTGCACTCCCGAAAGCGGGCCAAATTGTTGCCTGCGTTTATTGATCCAAAAAATATAGACAGGGAGACAGGGAGAACCCCCATTTCTTCCCTAATATGCCTATAGTCTAGTTTAAATACCTTTTTAAAAACCTCCATGGAAAGCTTCTTCGTAATCATTTTACATCATTTGCTTATAGGAATATTCCCACTGATCTTGTCGCAGCTCGTACACAAAGTTTACCTACATCCCAAATCTTCTTGGAAATTAAATACATATTTGGAAATTTATTCAATCTTACTGAAAATAGTCACCTTTTCGGAATTTTAGAAAGGTCCTGGAATTTTGAAGTTTGTCATAGATTTCCAGAAATGTATCTCATTCTCCCATATTGGGCTTGAAAAGTTAAAGTTGCTAAAATTTTCGTTAAACAAATTTGCGTAGACCACAGACCATCACTATAAGGTGAGCCAGATTTTGCAACTATTTGGTTCAGCATGTTATATATAATAAAAATCTTACATTATTTTGTGGTTTGGGGGATGGAGCACAACAAACTCTCGAAGAATTTTTGTCGTAAAACGGATGGCACATCTTAATTTATTGTACAGGTAACGTACCACTGATATAGATTTTAAAACATAAACAATTATTATCTATTATTCTAATTGTAATACAAAATTCTATTTTAATTAGGCGCGTCGCCAAAACACGATTTTATGTTTATGATATTCATGCAGCTCATGACATGACCAAGTTGAAATGTATAGCGTGTTTAACCACAAAAGTTGTATCTGATATAAGGAGGTTTTTTCCTCACAATTTCAATTCGATCACAATTGTAGGGATGAAAACAGAAACATCCTTGGGTTGGCAAACCAATTTTCCAACCAATTTTTTTGGAAACCTGTTTGGAACTAAATCTCTATACGAACCTTGCAGTTTTCCAGTGTAAATGTAATTTTTTCAGGAATCATTTTTTGAAATTTTTTGATTTCCTGAGGAATTAACTAGGGATATTTCAACAATCTTTCCAGAAAATATCTTAGGCAGGTTTATATCCATTTTAGGCATTTTGGGCTGTAACTTTTTGGCCCGTTAGTCTATGTAGCCGAAAATAGCGAGCTTTCTTATATCCGGAAGAACATGTGTATATCAATTTTCAAAGCGATCGGACGTTTCTACACAAAGTTATCGTGCACGCGGACAGACAGACGGACGGACAGGCAGCAATACAAAATTATAAACGATCTCGAGAATCGTTAATAAATATATAACGATGACCAACTCCAATATTTCGGCAGCTGATTTATATTTCCGGGGCGAATATTCTTTGGTCAAATATAGGTATATCGTGGGTAAATTTTCCGAGGGCCATCATTCCCGGAGCGTATACTCTTGGAATGATTATTTCTTGTTGGCTTCCACAAGTAATGATAACTATCATAGTGAAATCGCAAAACATTTTTCAAATTTCTATCCCTCAAGAAATTTAATCCACATCGGAAACTTTACCAACGCTTGATGCTTATAGAACAGTGCAGTAAGTGTGATAAAACTCGAAGCATCCACAGGCACTTCCTTTCTGAAAAGGCCAAAGTAATTTCAATTATATTAACCTGCAAGTGCACCAGATGTAATTGTTAGTAGTTATAATAGCGCGTTGAGAAATCTTGTCAGATAATTATAATTTGAAGCATCGTTTACCAACCAAAAACAGTCACTGATTAATTAGCCCGAGGTGAAAATATTTAGAATTCATTGCACGAGGTAATTCGACAGAAAGCTGCTTCGAAAACCGCATGCATGCCCAAACAAGCAAAATTTACATCCCAGGAGCTTTTTTTCGACAAATATTTAAAACTGAATTATATTTTCCAATTATTTTCTTGTGAAAAATCAATCAGATGTGGCCAAAT